CCTAAATTTAAGATACTCTCTTGGAACACACAACTTATTAAATTATTATTATTTGCTCAACAAAAACGTTGATAGATATAAATTCTTTAACAAGAAATTATGTTTCAGTGAATCATTAAAATGGTGATGATGATAGTATCTGGGTAGACTGCACAATATAGTGTAAATATCTTTGTAGACTGCACGCTATAGTAGCACCATCTGCAGTTTCTTTTGATGAGTTAATAAAGTATTTGTACTAGAAATTTTTCTGTGAATTTCCAAGGCTTCTACTGAGTCAGTTTGATTGAAATGTGATATTCATGCTAAGAATAAAAATATTTTTCATCATACAGTTTTCATATTTCATTTGCATAACCTTTAGAACTTTCTCAATGAATATCAAAAGGCTTTTTTTTGGTTAAAGCTATATTTTCTCTGCCCTAACACTAACTGTTGAGAAATAATTCATTTACAGTGAAATGAAAAATATGAAATAAAGTTAATAATGCCATTTTTAGATTCTTCCTTGTAATTATGTATATCTTGTGTTTGTAATTGGTTGGAAACTGCAGCAGTATATTATGAAAATTTTAAAATTTTGAATAATCTTAAGACAGGGCTCGACAAATTTGCTTTGTATCTAGTAACCAGCTCAAAAATTAAGAAGCCAGACAAATTTTTCAGCTTTCACGGTTTTATGTTTTAACGACTACCAAAAAATTTCATGTTCCACTATTGAATGGTATAAATCATATTTTACTTATAAACAAGTATAGACAAGAACTTCATACACATTTATATCATACGAAATAACATATTCTGATGTGATATGACAAATAACCTATCTAATGGCATAATATATTACATTGTTACGGGTTTAAAGCTACTTAGAATAAAGAAATAAAGTTTCATATCACAATATGAAGTCATTCTAGAAAGAAAAAAGCATAATTTAGATTTCTTTTCTTTCTTTTTTTTTTTGGTGGTTAGAAGGGCGGTCACATTGACTGACCTTGTATAAAGTTAGGATAGAGAAAATAACAAATATAAAGTTTTAATGAAAAAAGCTTTGAAATTTATTTAAAAGGTTTTAGAGATTATACAAATAAAATTTGAGATTTTTGAGAACAGGAAAAGTATTTCTAATCTTAACATGGAAAATCATTTAACACTTGGAAATACTATCTATATTAATGAACAAATCTTTAGTAAAAATACTTCTTTAAAAAAATCTGATATTTTGTGTACAAAAGGCTTGTAATGTTTACTAAAAGTCTACCAACTTTTGTGAAAATATGTTTACTGTATTAAAAAATATAGTATGAAAACTATAACAAACACAACAGGGTTATAAGGTCTGTCCCAGATACCAAGCCCGGGTTGGGAGAGTAAACAAATTATGAGGAAGAAACACGTGTGCAAACCTGTACACACCAGGAGAGTACAAAGCGTCATTCATCTCCTGTCTATTACACATTTACACGAATGAGCACACAAGGCGATCATTGATCCAAGGTAAGAGGTTGCTGAGCTGAGATTTTCAAAATAACAAATACAGACATGAACTGAGAATAATAAGAAAGTAATTTGAACCATGGTGTCTGGGATTTGTCGAGCCCTGTCTTAAGATGATTTCGGTCTTAGATAAAGACAATAAATTTTTCTTACAAGTGTTCCAAAAGTTTTAACCGTTAATAACAGTAATCATTTCTCTTTTTACTGTGTAAATGTATCCTTTTTTTAAATGCATTAAATACATATGGGAGCAGAGTTGACTTTTGTATTTTCTCCACAACATTGCTATATTCTCTACACATCTTTTCATGAGATAGAAAAATCATAAATTTTAGAAAAGATAAATGTATTACAAATATCTTAATCACAAGACTTGGTAAGAGGATGCTGTATCATCACATAAGTCGTGTGATGTCATTTTTAATAATTTACTTTTCCTCCAGATATTCTTCTAAATCTCTCTCCCCCTCTACTCAAAAATATCTTGCCAAAACTGGCTGTTATGAATCATGTTTTTTTTATGAAAACCTCATTCCAAATTCATCCAATGAATCCACAGTAGTCTAAGTTTAGCACATCCCAAGCAAACTATACTGCAGTTACTGATTTTCGTGGAAGTCAGTTTTACATATTTCTCGTCGTAAAACCATCAGAAAAATTCTGATTATAATCATCAAAAGCTAGTGAGTCAAAAATATAATTTATAAAGTGAAAAATTTATAATACAAAATTGGGTACTAAAAATGCTAAAGAAATATGGTACCTTTTAATTTAGCTTAAGAATTAATTTACATAAGTTATTATAATTAGAAAAAGGGTCAAAAGGACATGTATTTCTACATTTTTTGTTCTCTGTTCTAATCCTGAAATACAAACAATTTTGCAGATGTACAAATATTTTTTTCAAAAATAGGTGCAGAAACCAAAAATCCTAATGCAGTTGTTGTGGGATTGGCACCTAGCAAGTTTAACTTTCACACTCTTAATGATGCTTTTAGGTAAGTAAAAAATGGATCATATTTAGTTTTAAACTTAGTGGTCAGCCATTATATTGCATTCTATCCTTTCCATGGAATGAGCTTCAGAAATTTTACTTCTTACTGGTCAGTTTGGATGAGTATATGATTAAAACACGTATCTATTAAAACACGTTCTATATAGTTTACGTGCCATATTAAACTCGGTGGTTAGTTAGGTCAACATGTATCAAACTACTCTCAACATTTAAATATACTGTTGTAAGCTATGTTTTCAGTGTTATAACTAGAGTGAGATGCAGATCATAATGATTGAAAGACTTTATGAAATATCTAGAACAAGAATTAGATATAAATACATACATGTGAAAAGTGAATGAGTATTAAGTAGTCAATTTTCAGCTACCAGTGAATCATTCAATTTGTTTCAGTAACGTATTTAGTTTTAGTAAAGTATTTGGATCAGTGTTGGATCATGTGTTCAGTTACTTGATTGATTAGTCTTGAAGTTGTATAAGTAAGTTTACTTTTACATTATTCATACTAAAATTAGCATGATGGTACCATTTGAACTTCATTTGTAAGTTTAAACCTACAAGTTACAACAGTGTCAAGTTCAGGCAGCTTGTAGAAACATTAAGGAAGAAATAAA